GATTTTATCCGCAGCGTTTCTCTCTCTTTCTCATGGGCCATGTGGAACAGTATCAAAAGCCATAAAACTTTATGTATTTACAGCCTCTTCTGGGAGTACAGCGCTCAGAACATCGTTGTAGATGTAAATTAGCTCAATTATCTTTGCTTGGGATGGTTGGATCTTGCCCAATTACCGTTGCAGTTTCTCATTCTCTGTGGTGCTGACAAACAACGCCTTTAAGTGCTTGTTCCGCTGTTTTCCCAATCCCAACACCACATAATTCTCTCTGATCTTCAGCCTCTGTTTTAAAAGAAACCTTTGGCATTCTTCCTTGATTATTTTCCACCCTCTCTGGGTTAAGGTTCCCTTCTTGGCTTTCTGGCACCTGCAGAGTGAATTTAATCTTGCCCAAATCACCTGAAATTGTACTATAAATTCTAGTCCATCTCTACCCTGTTTTTTCCTTACTATACTGAGATTTCTCTCCTTCCTCAATTATAAGCCCTCATCTGATCCATCACCCTTTGAAGTTTTGACATTTCAGCCTTCTTGGCATTACCTTCCATCAGCTCCTTGCCTGGAGAACAACTGAGATCCACGGATTCCTTCCACACCAGAAACTCCTCTGTGAATTACCAGTGAGAGCTGCTGCTGCTGCAATCTTATCAAATCTGAACACTGCAATTTTTCATTATTCTTATGCCACGATAGCAGGGCCACGTGCCTTTGGACCAGCTGCTGGAATCAGAAATTCTGATTTTCCCTCGTGTTCTGGCTTTCATTAATTAACAACACCAAAAATCCCATGGATTCTCTTGTACCTTCTCCTGGTGGGCCTGGTCACCTCCTCATCGATTCATTTCTGGAGTAAACAACAAAGAAAGAGTAAAAAAAAAAGAGTTGCTGCTCTCTCTGTGTCCTCATTGTGCTCTGAGCTGAACCATTCCCAGCCCCTGGAATGACTGAGCAGGTTTTGGATGTTCCCAAACAAAACCACAACACTGAGACCCTCGAGGGGCGTCTGAACTCAGGGGCTGCTCCAAGTGGAGCTGCAGGAGCCACCCCCAGCCTTTCCCACAGAACCCCTGAATTATTCAGGTTGGAGAAGCCCTCTGAGACCAAGCTGTGCCTGATCCCCACCACTCATTCCCTGGACACCTCCAGGAGGTGACGCCTTCCCAATGCCTGACACCCTTTCCACGAAGAAATTCCCCCTGGATTTTCACTGCCTTTTTTTTTTTTTTGAATTTCCTGAAGTTTTCCTCTCTCCCAGATGGGGTGAAGGCTGCAGCCCCTCACAGGGCAGGAGCTGGATCAAAAGGGAGAGTTCAGAGCTCCCACCATCCCAACCCCTCCCGGTGCTGCTGCTCTCCCTGCCCCAGATGAGCCCCTGGAGCAGCGAATGCTCGGCGTTTATCGCCCCATCAGAGCAGTTGGAAGACAGTTGGGTGTCTCTGGGCGCTGATAGCAGGGAGGGTTTGCTCTGGCAGATAAGCTGCGCTCCCTGAGCAGCCAGGGCAGGCCGTTGGTATCTCGGAGCCCTCCATCCCTGCGGACACACCCTGGGGCTGGGGGCAGTTAACTGAACCCCTCGCTATCACCGGGGCTCCGCTCCCTGGAATCGTTTATTCCTTGCTGATCGAGGCTCTGCAGTGACCTCCCTGTAAACAGGCACTCATGGGTTTGGAGATGGATTAATTCAGGAGAGAAATGCCTTCTGGAAGGTATTTGAAAGGTTTTGAAATGCACAACAGCTCCATTTTCTGCTTGAGTGGCTGCCCAGGAGAGAAAAGCATCACCAGCATCCCCTGCTGGGTTTGGGGGAGCCGGGAGTGTCTGGAGTGCAGCTCTTCCCTGCCAGCTCCAGCCAGAGCTCTCTCTGTCATCCCCAGCAGCAAATCCAGGCTCTGGTGGTCACCCAGCACTCCGGTGTGAGCAAGGCAGAAAATCCAGGTGACCTTTATGCAGAGGAATCAGCAGATCCAAGCACCACTATTGGAGCGAGGAGGAACCAGAGGCTGCACACCCAAAGTGTTTGGAAACAAAGAGCAAATATTGTGCTGAGGAAACAATATTGGTTTCACAGTTCCGGCCTATATTCATTAAAAATATTTCCTTTTTTAATTTTAAACACTGCTCAGTCCTTCCCTTGGGCCCTGCTCAGCTCGCACCTTCCCCAGGCAGCTCTCTGAGGTCCTGCTCTGTTTTCCTCCATGGGAAACCACCACTTGCACAAATACAGATATTTTCATCCAAATAAAGATATTTTCATCCAAATAAAGGGGAAAGGGTTGGAATATTGTTAAAAAAGAATCCAGCTGCGAGGCAGAAACCTAAAAGTGGTGAAAAGCATCGCTGTTTTCCCCAGGCTGGGGAGAGAAGGCACTGCACAAACCCAGCAGTGTCATCCGTGGGGAGCCTCTGCCATCTGCTGGCACCTGAAGCAACTCCTGAGCTCGGGAGAGGTTGTCAGCAAACAGACAGGAAAGGAAAATGAAGTTTTTGAAGTTCCTAAGCCCTTTTTTGGGAGAAACATTACCTGTTTTGGTCTCATCAAAAATACTGAGGTCATAGGAAGGTTTATGTTGGGACAGACCTAAAAATCATCCAGTTCCACGTTCCTGCCATGGTTCCACCAGACCAGGGTCCTCCAAGCCCCATCCAGCCTGGCCTTGGACACTTCCAGGGATTCAGGGACAGCCACAAATGCTCTGGGCACCTGTGCCAGGCCTTCAGCACCTTGACAGCAAAGGATTCCTCAAGTTCTCAAGCTGAGAATTCCTCAAGTTTCCAAGCAGGTGCAGAGCCCAGGTTTTCAGCCAAGGATCTGTACAAAGCCATGAATTAAACACCTCCGTGCAAGGTTAAAGGTTAATCAGGTTTAAAGTCGGGTTTTACCTTCTTCTTTCCCCGGAGAGGTGTGTACTGCCCGTGGGAGCAGCACAGCCAATGGGAGCTGAAAAGGGCCCATAGAAACTGTGACAAACAGAAAACCCCTGTTTGTCACCTGTCCTCTTACTCACAGCAGCCTCACCTGGACGTGAATGCCAGTAAGGAAGTTGGAGACAATTGGCAGAGGTTCCGCCAGGACTCAGGGAAATTCCGTGTCAGGGAAATTCTGCAGCCACACCTCAAAGTATTTTTAGTTCTGGCCTTGGCTACTCAGATGGAGTTTCTTGAAGCTTCCCAAGTATTTGCAGAACAGCAGTTCCAGGTTCTGCCTTTCCTGCTCCCCATTGCAGCTCACTCTGGTGGTTCAGAGCCCCTTCCCTGTGGCCCAGAATTGGCTGAAGGAATTTCATAACAAACAGGTGCTTTTCTGGACAAATAAACCAGGATTTCCTTCCAACCAGCTCAGAATTCGATCAGCGTTATTTGATGTAACAGAATGTTTTGAAGCCAAGGACTGTTTTCAAACCACCAACAAAAATATTTGTATTATATTTTCCTCTGCATCTCATTGCAGCTCTTTTGCTTTTCCTTCCCACCATTTATCTTTCACAACACCAAGCCTTGCCTGTACTTCCTATTTGGCTGCTGGTTGGTAGTTTTCTCATTTGCTGTTATTTTTGACTTCCATCCAAGCTTTGTATGATATTAATAGCTGTTGCAAAGAACTGTAATCATCCTCAAACCAGCCCTAATATTAGCAGGAGTAGCCAAGAACTGTTGTCAAGGCCTGAGGGATTGGAGCAGTGAATTTTCTCCTCCATCCTGCCAGTTCTGCCCCAGCCCAGCGAGACAAAACATCTGCTCAGCACCCAACTCACACAAACCCATCCTGGCCACCCCAGGCAAAGAGAGAAGCAGCTTGGTCAAGCTCAAATGCACAAAAAGATGCTGAAAGAAGATGCTGATGTGAAGATTCAAGAATTAGATGTTACCCGTTGTCTAATTAATGCTTCAGCCTAATCAAGATAGAGCAATCACTCATTGTTCATCCAGCAGTGCTAACGCTAATAGCTAAATTACTCATTTTCTATTAAAGGTTGTCAGCAACAGAAAAAAATAAACAGGGGATAAAAGCATCTACCCTGCTCCTCCAGCAGTAAATTCTCCTCCTTCCCTTGCTGCAGTGACTCATCAGCATCCTGAGGGGGAAATAGTGATGGGTTTCTTCCTCTCTGCTGGCAGCAATGTGATTCTAAGGCTGGTGGTTTCTTCCTTCTCTGTTTTAGAGTTTACTTGAGGCTACTTTTTAAAATGTATTTTCTGCTATTCTCTCCACTGGAATCTTTCTTCCCAAGGCTGCAATCCCCCATTACACCCAGACACACCACGTGCTCTGCATTTTACCTGTATTTTTCCTGTCGCTTCCACTGGTTTCTGTCACCTACCAGAACCTCAGTGGTTAGCAGTGGCTTCCTGGTGAGTTGCTGATAGCCCTGGGGCCATCTCCAGCTCAGCATCCTGTGCTCTCTCAGCACTTCCTGCTCCTTAGGGAAGGATTTTCTGTGATTTTCCCAGGTGCACTGCTGCACCTCACATGAAACGAAACCGTGCAACTGCAATTGCCATCCCTGTTTTTCTATGACAGGCGCATGAGAAACTCCAGCACAACTTCCAGGGCAGATCCTGAGGACAAAGTCCTGCAGAGTCACATGGAGCCTTTGGGTCATCACTGATAACAGTGATGTCACCTTTCCATTCTGATCCTCCATCACCTTACACCAGATACTTGCTAAAAGCTGTACACCAAAGTCCTTTTCAGCAGGGAGGTCTCCAGGGGGGAGTCCAGACCCTGCTGCTCTGACCACAGGGTTCCCTTTGTCTATCCAGACCCCAGCACCATTTTATGAGGGGAAGGTGATAACTTTCAGATAGGAAGAGAATACTTTCATTTTTGGTTTAAACTCTTCCTGTTTCGTTTCATCCTAGATAAGTGGTTTCATCTCACTCCACCCAGGAGAGAGCTTTCCTATTTAAGGCTCAGTCCCTAGCTTACAGACTGTCCTACTCAGGATCAGCTGCTGGGTGGAAGAGGTGCAGCCAAGCCCTCATCCCTTGACAGTGACACGATGGCCACAGCAAAACTGAGGTGAGTGCACAGCATCCCTTCTTGTGACAGCTCCACAGCTCAGGGTGAGGGGGACAAGGCTCAGCACAGCATCCTGCTCAGAACCTCACCGTGGTTAAGGCTGGAAAGGGCCCCTGAAAGTCACCTTGTCCAAGGTGCTGCATCCAGACAGCTCTGGAGTCTGAGGGAAGAGACAGCACAACCTGCACAGGAAAAATGTGCAAAGCCTTCCTTCTTCTCACAGTTAAATTTCCTGATGTCCAGATGGAGCTTCCTGGGCTTGTTTGTGCTCTTTTTGCCCTGGCACTGCTTTGCACCCTCCCTTCAGGTATTTCTACAGCTCTAAGATCCTTCTGAGCCTTCTCTTCTCTGAACGGTCTCAGCCTTCCCTCATGGAAGAAACACTCCAGTCTAACATCTTCCTTATCTTGCTGGCTCTTTTCTGAGCCATTTCTTCACATTTCAGCTGAAGACACAATCCCTGCTTCCTCCCCACAGAAGGCAAAACCAGAGAAACCAGTCTTTCAACTTGTGGGTGAGGCTGGCTCTACACTCGCTTTTTTCAGCCCATCCAAAGGCATTTGCCTTAGGTGAGAGAGCAACCCTGACTCCAGGCACTGGTGACTCCATTCCAGGCTTACTGTTCTTTAACGGGAAGGCTCACAGAGAGCTCCCTGAAAAATGGGCTGATTGGAACAAGGATTTGCAGGTTCTTTAGTAGCCTGAGTGCAAGGGATGTGTTGAGCAAGTGGAGAGAGTCTCCTCCTCCACCTCCCCTCCTCTTTTCTCCCTCTGTGTGGGCACACTCTTCAATAACTCACCATTTCCTCTTTGTAGCAATGAGCAGCTGAAGGAGATGCTGGATAAACTGCAGTGTCACTTCACCTGGAAGCTGGGCGTTGACTCTTTCAGTCTTTGGCATCTCCTGCAGAAGTTGAATGTTGAGATCAAGCACGCAGCCCAACAGAACCAGGTGGCCCTCCTGGGGCTCCAGGCCTACCTGCACCAGATGAACAACCAGAGTGAGGAAGCTCTGCAGAGCCTCAAAGCTGCTGAAGAGCACAATGACGAGAAGCATCTACCAACATCTACTGCTGGCTCTTTGATCATCTACGGGAATTATGCTTGGATCCACTACCTTCAGGGCTCCTACCAGGAGGCTGAAACCTGCCTGGGACAACTTCAGCAGCTCTGCCCAAGTCCTTGGGACGTGCGGCTCATCCCACACATCCAGGCCCTCAAAGGCTGGTCCCTGCTGGCCATCAGAGCCCGGAATGGGGAACGGGCAAGAGAGTGCTTCAACACGGCCTTGATGCTCGAACCAGACAACAGCTCCTTCCGTACTGGGCTTGCAATGGCTCTTTATTCCTCCTGGAATTTCTCCTGGCAACCTGATATCGAAAAAGAAGCCAGAATCCAGTTGGAAAGAATTGTCCACATGCAGCCAGAAAACTACAGAGCTAAAATATATTTGGCCAAGCTACTTAAACAAGTTGATAGGGAAAAATCAACAAGTTTAGTTCAAGAATGTGCAGAGAGGAGCTCTGACCCTGAGGTCCTCAAACTATCAGCTTTGTTCTGGATGCCACAGTCGGCAGAGAAAGCACTTCAGATCATCCAGAGAGCCCTGCAGCAGGACCCAGGTTACCACCTTCTCTACCAGGCCTTGGCCAAGTGCTACAAGCAACAGTGGGTCAAAGCAAAGGAGGAAGACAAGAATAAGGTACTGTGTAAAGCCATCAGGGACCTCCAGAAAATTATTCAGGAACATCCAGACCTTGACCTTACACTTGCCAAGCTGCAGCTGGCAGAGTTTATTGGTGCAAGAGACCCGGCAAAGGAAAAAGAGATCTACATGGAGCTGCAGAAGAAAATCAGCACCCTGAGCCTCAGATGTCAGCAAGCCCTGAGTCTCTCCTGGGGAAAGTACTTCCTCTACCGAGGGAAATCCCAGGAGAAGGCAAAAGCCAAGTTCATGGAATGCTACAAAATCCCCGTGCAGACAGACCACAGGAGGGACTGTGGGCGCAGGCTGGTAAAGATGGCTGAGATCTACAAGGGGAAGGGTGACACCAAGGCTGCCAGCGCCATCCACCGCTTCCTCCAAGAGGCCGACCGGCACTGCCCAGGGAACCCGGGGCACTAGGTTGAGATGATGAGGATCACCCCATCCCACAGAGAACCAGGCACGACTTTTGCCAAGGCTAGAAGGCCAAAAGGACTGCCTGGCTCTGCACAGCAGGCCCATCCTCACATGGACATGGTGGCTCTGGCAGCTCCTCACGCCGTCCCATTGCTCAGCCATCAAATCCAGGCCCACCTGTGGGTAACCAAAACCTTCCACACGCTGCTGTGTGCTGCTGCTCCCAGAGAGAATGAAATCAAGAGAGAAGAATTCGTCTTAGAGGGTCTGAGCACCATCTTCTGCAGGTGTGGACCTGCATCTCTCCCTTGGAGCTTCCACTGATCAGAACCAAATGCTGATTAGGACAACGTGAGAAATCAATTCGTTAATTTTAAGAATTCTAGCATTAACAACGAACCAGGAGGTGGATTCCTCCACAAGATCAGTGAGGAGCTATGATGAGGGTGAAGTCCTTCTGTACATGACACAGATGGTCACTGGCCCGTCCAAATGCATTAAGTGCTGCTGATTAAGGAGCCCACAGGGGTGATTTTATCTGCATTAATCCTCAGAAGCACACACATGCCTGGACATAAACCAGGAGCTTCTTTGTACTGGTTCCCACCACGAATTACATTTTCATCCCTATTTGTGTAGTCAAAGTGAGGTTTTTAAAAATCTTTGATTAATAAATATTTTTCTGCATGATTTCTCGTTGCTGGTGTCTTCTTGCAGCCTGAAGCATCCAGAGCATGGAACACCAAAGATCCACCCTCTCCATCCCCCAGGCGCTTCCCACTTGGAATCTGTGCCCTTACCTGCAGGCACAGGTGGGCACCCCCATCCCTCCCACGCCCAAGCACTGCCAGGGTCACCTTTGTGCCCAGCAGTACCTGAGTGGGGGTGGCTTCCTCAGATGTCCCCAAAGCCACTGTCTGTCCCCACAGAGCAGTGCCACAGGGACCAGGCAGATGTCCCTCAGCAGGTCCCACCAACAGTGACCGTGTTTCTGCTCCAGTGAGGAACAGACAAGGACCTAGTCTGGGAGAACATGCTCCAGGAAAGGACCAAGTGTGCTCAGAACCAGAATTGGGTAAGGAGAACACACCTTAGTGCCCCTCTCCTGCACACCTGGTGTGTTTGAGAACGCAGGGCCAGAAACACCTCCTTGCTCAGGGGCCCCAGCAGTGGGTCAGCACCAGCACCTCACAATCAAGGGGAGAGAGAAACATCCCTGGCCAGCACACCTACCCTGGGCTATTTCACCTCCCAACACAACAGTGGGGACCAAACCTGCCATCCTCCTTTGTCCCCAGGACCAGGAGCCACAGCCCAGGGCAGGAGCCTGCCCCCAGCAGCAAAGCTGGCAGGGATCAGTCCTTGGGGCAGAGAGCAGCCCCTCAGCCTCCAGTGAGGCCACACATGCCTGGTGAAAATACACAAGTTAAAACCACGAGCCAGAGAAGACAAAACTGTGGGTTGTGTAAAAGATCAGGATTTACTTAACTGCACAGCCAGGACAGTTTTCCAAAGCTCAATAAAAACAGCCACTTGATAAACTCGTGTGTGTTGCACAGGTGTCTTCACACAGCACTGGGCAAGGTCCCAGGTCCTGGCCTGGGAAAGCACAATTCCCACCCTCCCTCCCCTCACCAGCAGGAGCAGCATTAATTCCTTTGGGCTGCCCAGGAATCCTTTGGCTTTGCATCTACACCCTCCTCTATGGAATTCACCCCTGCAAACACAGTACCAGGAAATAAATGCTCCTTTAGAGCAGCCACAGTCCCTCGGGCAGTTCATTGAAGAGAGGATTTTGCCCACCAGCCCAGTCCAACACTGCCATCCTCAGGATTCCAGCTGCACCACCAGCCAGGTGGGGCTGACTGTGCTGATGGAAAGCCTGGATTCTGACAAAGTTCAGACACTGCTGTGCCAAGAATATCCTACAGGGTCCTAAAAATCCCAACCAACTGACCCTCTTTTTGTGACTGCTCTACCTCACACAGGGAGAAAAAGAGATGTTAGTGAAAATGCCAATTCTCTAGAGTTTTTTTAATGATTAGCACTGAACAAATCCTGCTTGTTACTGTCTTAACCAATACTACATTCAGCACAGCATTAGATAATAAAAATAAATTGCACTATAAAATCCCATTAAAAGTCTCAGTTAAGCTGAAAGATAAAAGGCAAAACATTATTTCATATAAGCTGCCAGGGGCCACGGAGACAATCTGTATTTCTTCTACTTGTGAGCGTTGGTGTGCAAATGCCAGGACAAGACCAACTCCCAGGTCTTCACTTCAGCATAGGAGAGGCAAAGAAGTTACCCTGATGCCCAAACTGGGTTGTTGACTTGCTTTTGCTCCCAAATCTAATTCAAGAGAAACACAAAAATATTAGTTTGGAATTCCGGACAGAGAGCTTCAACACTCTCCCTTTTCCAGGGAGCATTCACCCAAACCTCACCCACCTCCCAAACAATGCTCCTCTCCCTACCATGAGAGGATGTTTGTTACCCAAACCTGCTGCTGCCACAGCACAGATCAAGGGAGGGCTCACTGAGTAATGAGTGTCCCCACAGTCTCAGTTCTCCTAGAGCACCCAAAATCACCTGCAGTCATCCCAAACATGGCATGACAGCCCCCCCTGGCACTTACTTGGGGGTGGTCTTGCTGAAGGTGGAGAGGACCCTCTGGGACAGGGAGCTGGACGAGGGTGTCTTGGAGAGCTGGTGCTCTGGGGTGGTGAGAGGTCCCAGGATGCTCACTGCCAAAAGAGAGCAGCACAGTGTGGGGACAGCTGAAGTTTTCTTTGCCATTCAGGGAACATCAGGCATTCCCTGGCATCTGTGAAAAGCACTAGACAAATCTGGCACTTCCTGGCACACTTTGCTTTTCCCTCTGCCTCCATGAAGTGAGAAGTGGCTGGCTCAGAGAGCCTCCCAGGCTGTGTGGATTGAGAGATGTTTTTAGCAACAGAGCAGAAGGCAGGATTACCTTGGACCTCAGGTGTCCGTGGAGTGGAATAGGCGTTGGTGTTCTCAATCACGTGTGCTGGGTCAATGTTCTCCTGCTCCACCATCATCAGCTGGCTCCAGTAGTCCATGGGCAGCAGCAGGAGCCGCTCCACCACCTACAGAGACACCTGTGAGTCACTGATCACAGAATCACAGAATGGTTTGGGTTGGAAGAGAGACAATCCCCAAGCTGGTCCTACCTTGGGCTGACGCTTCGTGTCTTGCAGCAGGGTCATGGGGTCAGGATCTGGTACCGCGTGGGCAACTATGGTGGGGCCAAAGACTTTGGCCAAATTGGAGATGTCCATTTTAGTGTCTGGGCTCTGAGCCACCCTGCATTAAAAGAAACATGGAAAGAATGTAGTTCCCCTCCATCACTTGTGATACAAATCCCCTGTCCCACACACACTTGGCATCTGAGTGAGCAGGTTTGTTCCAAAATGAAGACTTTGTGCTCACAAGCAGTGACCAGATTAGAAAAAGCACCAGTGGGGTGACCTTCCCCTTCCAAATCACAGAATGGTTTGGGTTGGGAGGGACCTTTGAGATCACCTGGTTCCAAACCCCTGTCCATCAGAATGTACCTCTGCAGGTGGACCATGAGGAAAGCCAAGGTGTCCCTGTTGGCCTGAGGAAGTTCTCCAACTGCTTGGTACATAGCAGCAATGCTGTTATCCTCATCTGGGATTTCTAGGAGGAAAAAATAACATTTAGACCTAAAAAAAATTTCTCCCTCACAGAGAAATAAAGCTAGAAACTTCTCAAGCTGTGCTAATAATCCTGTATCCTGCCCAACTAGAACTCAGGCACAAGGGCTCCACAGAGCGCCACGGGCTGCTGGTTCACTTGACAGCAAAACCACAACACCTCAGGAAAGAGCTGGAGATGTCACACAGCAGTTCCTCACCTGCAGCTTCCATGAAAGTCTTGTTTAACCGGAAAGTGAGCAGGGGCTCTTTCAGGCTGCGCAGGAAGTCCTTGAGAAGGCCGCAGATGGCGTGGATATCGTCCACCTTACTGAGCAAAGGAATGCTCTTTGCTCTGAGAAACTTCTCCTTCAGCTCCCTCACAGTCTTGTCACAGCCAGAGATGCGGTAAATGCCGGTCTGTTGGCACAAAGCTTGGCTCAGAGGAGGAGGTCACTTGGCTTTCTTCCATCCCCACCTTCTCCCCACACCTGAGTCACCCATCCACACCATAAATAAGGGATATTTGGGTTAACAATTTGCTTCCCTAACACCACAACCCATTTCATTGGCACTGTTTCAGACCTCATTTTCTTCTTACCTCATGCAGCCCTCGTTGCTCAATCTCATTAACACAGTGCACGATGATGGAAGGGATCATTGGAGGAGTAGAAGGGACAAAATCCATCAAGGTGCCCTAAAAGGCAGAAAGGAAAGTAAAAAAAAAAGATGGATTCAGTCACCAAGACGTGGAAAATACTCTCTCAGGAATTCACAGCAAGATCTATGGTCGGAAAACGAGAATTGTTGCTCTTCTCAGGACTGATGAAGAAACATCACATCCATCAGCACAACGCTGCATCGCCTGCCCAGAGCTGCCACCTTCCCCACTCAACGCCCTCCTACCATCACACCCCTACACCCCCTCCCTGCTTGTGCAATGATGCATTAGCGAGCTCATTTGCATGTCATTATGCAGCTCTGAGCAACAGGAGCTTTGCTGGGGAAGGCAGACTCGGAGCTGAGCAAGTCCCAAGGCAGGGTGGCCCCTCTGGTGGGCAGTCCCATGCCAGGGTGGCCCCTGTGGTACCAGCCCCAAGTCCCATGCCAGGGTGGCCCCTGTGGTGGGCAGTCTCACGCCAGGGTGGCCCCTGTGGTGGGCAGTCCCATGCCAGGGTGGCCCC